GCTCAGGGGTGAGGCAGGGTTAGGGGGGTGCGGGTGGAGGGCAGAACAGACCTCACCAAAACTGCTGCTCTTGGGCAGAGCGTAACAAATCCCAGCTCCAGTCCTGCAGGGCAGGGGGAGGGTGGGCACGGCTTCGACAAGAGGGACTGCAAAGAAAGACATCTCCACTCATTTCTTTAAAATAGATTTCTTTAATAGTTTCCATTTAATACGTTCATTTGCAGTTAGTAAATTGGCATTAACCTGGGCAGCAGGAACCTCAGCAATCCCTGGGGATCGTGCAGGAATATTTGTTAGTGATGGGGGTCCCCCCGTCCCCACCTGCTGCCAGCCCCACCGAGGCAGCGAGCTCTCCCCAGCACCATGCCGGACGCTGCCTCCGGGGCTCTCCCCAAGACAGAACAAGGATCATGTCTGGTGCCTCTGCAAAGGAGACTGTGGAAGCACCCGGCCCGGGCAGACGAGTGCCCAGGACCATGGCCCCAGTCAGCAGGCACCTGTGGCCCTGCCCGCTGCAGGCCCAGCCGTCCCCTGCCCCGAGGAGCTGCTGGGGTTCTGTCCTGGACCCTTCTCCGCAGCCTGCCCGGAGGTGAAAGCAGAGCCCAGCCCCCTCGGGCAGGTGAGGACCCCGGGGGGACCCCCAGCCCAGGGCCGAGGACAGGGGGAGCTCGGCCCCCAGCTGTACGGTACAGAGAGATGTAAATGGGACTCTGCAGGGTCACCGCAGCAATCAGCGGATGCACCAATTAACTAGACTATGGAAAAGGCATCCCTTAACTTAAAAAGCCTTTTAATTTGAAGCATTTATTTTAAGTGTACATCTATTACAGTTAAGAAGAAGCAAAGATACACCAAATCCACAAATACCCAAGAACAAAAAAGTACAAATGAGAAAGAAATCCGCTCAGGGGGAGGGGGGGCTGGTGGGGGTGACCTTGCGGAAGAGCAGAGTGGCAGCTGCCGCAGCGAGGAGCTCCCCAACGCGCTGGGTAGGACCAGGGGAGGCTCAGGGGAGCGGGGCAGGGTCTGTCTGCAGGACTCGGTGCCCCAAGGAGGGACGCAGGGACCCCCAGGAGCTCCCCCGAGGCTCCAGGCTTACGCACCAGCTCAGCAGCAGCTCTGACCCCCCTGCACGCAGAGCACTGACTGCCCGTCCACGGCAGGGCACCCAAGGGGGAGACAAGCGACAGAAGGGGGACTTTCAGCGAGCAAGTCCTGCACCCGGGGCTGGAAGCCTCGTCTGCTCCTCCAGGCCCCAGCACAGGGATCCTCAGAGCGGGTTTCATTCTGCCGGCAAAGATCAGAGACAAAATGCTACAGCTCTGGGACATCCACGGGACCGGTCCCTCTCCAGAGCCTGGACAGAGCTGAAGTCATCTCATCAATAAGTTAAGAAAATTTAAAAAAAATTCAGAGGCATGTTTCAAAGAAAACTGGTTTCTTTTAGCTGGAGATGCAAGACATATTTTGACCTAAATGCAGTGGCTCAGGACTTCAGACTGTATTTCATTCCTAGGAATCTGCCTGTCTTGAAGCAACGCAATTAACATTGGTGAGCAGGCAGAGCATGCGCAGGTTTGGCCCTCGGGACTGCTGAAACCCAACTCCCCATTTCCCAACATCTCCTACAAAGTTCCTTTCAACCAGGAGTGTCCATTCCCAGCATTTAACACATTCTGATTAAAGAAAGATCCAGGAAAAACTGACATCTCCAGTAAATATTGCACTTCAAGATTAATGTGTGTGTTGGTATTAAGGACTGAAAGCAGAGACTGACGTAAGACTTCCAGGCATAGCAGGTTAGCATTGAGAGCAATGGTCCTGAAAAGGATTTTAAAACCAGATTAGTTACCCAAGAAGGGACAAGCCGTAAGTTTAAAAAATTAGTACATTTTAATGCTAGTGCTCCGTGAAAAAGCCAACCCCTGTTGCAATTCCACCACTGCTGAAATGTCTCTGTTCCCTGCAGCACTGTAAAACACCTTCAGGTGGGAAGGACCTGCAGGAAAGACAGCAGGAGCCAAGCTTCTCTCTTAATGCACAGACAAGACAGATTTAGTACCAAACGATCCCAAAGTAGGTGGTGAAGAGGTGACTGGAGCTAGGGCTCTCAGGAATTAAAAGCAGACACGCGCGCGCACACACTCACACTCTCACCAGCTCCAAGCCCCTGACTCCAAAGCCCAGCAGAAGAGTTACACCTGAAGGGCATCTCCTGGTGGCTCTGCACACGGCTGGTGTGTCGGGGTCCTGGTCAGACTGGCTCCTTGGACCTCACATTTGGAGGGCAATTTCTGTGCTTTTTGACTTGTTAATTCTGGCAGCCGTGAAAGACAGCCACAACTGAATTGGCACATACAGAGTATCCTCACCTGTCAGCGAAAAAACCTCCGACCAGCCACGCTGGACCGGGAGAGAGGAAAAAAAAATAATAATGAAGAGGCTGGTTTTTGCAGGTGATTATTTTTATCCCAGAACAACTGGAAGATACATCCCTGAATGTGTTGCCCAAAGAGCTTTCAAAGTCTCATCCGTCAGAGCTCAGAGATGGGGACCGGGAGGGGCTGGGGCTGTGACAATGCAGTAACGCTCCACGGTTCCAAGCCGCACACGCACACACACACACGACACAGCGTATCCCTGAAAATCCACGGGCTGCGAGGTACCCTCCAAGCGCTGTCCGTCAGAAGCCAGAGTGAGAATTACTCCTCAGAAAAGTCTCTGTCAATGTCCATATACGCCTCGTCGATGTAGCTAACTATGGCACAGGGGGATGTCCGGTCTGGACTGAGCAGTATGGATACAGTCTCTTTCCAGTAGGTAAAACTAATACATGAGCTCTGTGGGAAGAGACGGAGAGGCTGGTTAGCACAGTCCAGAGGCACCAACACGGAGCAGAAGACACATCCCAGGGACACTCAGTGGAGGGAACGGAAAATCCCTTCCTATTCAGCCCGACCTCCCCACCCACGCAGTTTCCCACCTCCGATTCACCGCTCAGCCCGTCCTCCCTGGGACACAGAGCAGAAGATGTGGACGCTGAACCAACCACACCTCCTAAACCCACCCACACCACCCAGCTCCAGGCAGGGACACCCAGCTCCTGTGGCAACTACAGCCCCATAAAGAGCCGCACAGGGCGACCACCACCCCAGCAAGCCCACGTGGGCCGGGAGGCAGGGCTGCCCGTGGGCAGTGCACACACACACACAAGGCCAAACCTCTCCCTCCCTGTCCAGTCCAAACACAAACTGGGACACTGTGGTGCTGCAGATCCAGCCAATGCTGGCAGTAGCTCCCACTCCCAGGGAAGACACAAAGACAATACGCCCTCCCTGCTCACACCCACAGATTGGATATTAGGAAAAATTTCTTGACTGAAAGAGTGGTCAAGCGTTGGACCAGGCTGCCCAAGGCAGTGCTGGAGTCCCCATCCCTGGAGGGGTTCAAAAAACCGTGTGGATGTGGCACTTGGGAACATGGTTTATCAGGCATGGTGGTGATGGGGTGACGGTTGGACTTGATGATCTCAGAGGTCTTTTCCAACCTTAATGATTCCATGATTCTATGATCCCTCCTGCATCCTTCTCTGAAGGCCAACGGGCCTCTCAGCAGCCCCACACAACACCGTGTACTACCCAAAGCCTGGACGACGACCTACCTCCAACCCCACCAGCGGCCCAAGGCACACACAGCACAGCACAACCCTGAAACGCAGCAGCAGCAGCAGCAGCGCTTTGGTCTCGGCAGCAACCCCCCTGCGCAGCCCAGCACCTCGGTGCGCCGTGGATGCACCAAACCATGATAAGGCCACCGCCACACCGTGCCTGAGAGCTGCGGGCCCCAAGCCACCCTGCCGCTCCCCAGGTCAGAGCGGCTCAGCCCAGCACTGGCCCAAATAATGCCGGGAGACAAGCGTTACAAGTCTGCACCACTCGCTGCAGCTTCTCCTTCCCACACAGACTCCCTCCACTGCACTCCACCTCCCTGGGGAACTGAAGCTCCTTATTTTAACTGCTTCCAAGCCCTACCACTGCCGTTCTTCAGGTACCTTCTCCGTAGGAGACTGCCTGCACCATGCTCACGCCACAGGCTGTGTGCTGCAGTGTCACATGCACACCAGAGATGGGCTTTTGCACGAACACAGTACAAATCTGTTAAAGCTGCCACCCAGGCACTGGAAAGTCAAGGAAGAACCCAGAGCAACCTCACCTTAGCCTCCTAGGGCACATACAAGGGAGTCAACTCCCCATCACAGGTCATTTCTTCCTCTTCTCAGGGTACAAGACAGGCCAGCTCTGGAGTGCTCTCCACAAGGCAGCTGCCTTCTCATCTAGCAGCTACACCAGGTACGTTCCCTGCACTGCCTGCCACCCCGCGAGGAGAGGGGACAGTCCGGTTAACGTGCTGACTGGTCTGGGAGCTGGATTCTGTCTTGCCTCCACACCCCAGTGCAAGGCAGGCCTTCCTGCCAGCCCTGCCGCTCAAACCCGCTCAGCATCAGCAAGTCTCACCTGTGTGTGCCAGAGCCAAGACCTAAGGTCTTGTTCGCAGGCAAACCCAGCACCTGCCCTGCAGCAGCCTGCTTGCAGCAGGGACCTGACTGGGTAAGACAGTGTGAAAAGCACTACAGAAAGTTACGCTGGGGGCAGAACTTGCTCCCTTCTTTCCCTTCATAACTGCTCACTTCCCATTTTTGCTATGTGATTAGCAGACAGATATTGCTATGATTGATTCTTGCTATGGTAACAGGTTCACATACATTTTCTAAGCAGGTGCTGTCTTTATCCTTGTTGAGGTAATGCTGTTGCCAGAATCGCAGGAGACTATGGAAATTGTTCAGGATGAAGCCTGGGTATTTTTCTGTATATTCCATCTGTTGCAAAGTGCGCAGATAAAAAGGTAGCTTTTCTTTCCTTCGGGCCAGCATTAGGATAACTAAACTTGTGTTCAAACAACTGACATTTTCCTGAAAATAAAAATGATACAGTAAGTCAGACCACAAAAAAAATAAGAGACATTGGCTGTACGCACATCATCACAAAACGTGCTCTTGGTAAGCAAGCAGAGGAGGTGCTCCTAGACAGATCAAGAGAGAAGGGACAACGGTCTCCTCACAAGAGGCCAGGTTCCTCCCTGCTCCCAGCCCAGTTCACCACCACACAGTATCAGCAAGATAACTGCAAAGTTACTGTCAGCTCTTTACCTGTGTAAGTGTCTGTACATGAATAATATTAATGAGACGGAAAAGAAAGGACATTCTCATGGACATCTGGGACATATATGATAACAGGCGGCACTCTGACAGGACTTCTGCAACTGCAGCAAGAGGAAAAAGACAATCATCAGGTGCTTGAAGTTCAGGCACATTGGTCCAAACAATATGACAGCAAGAATTGGTTCTGACTGTAGCAACAAACTTGCAAGGCGGCATTTCTCTGTCTGAACCCAAAATTTTCAAAGCCCAGACTTAAAGTAACCATCACCACTACCGAACACGCCCACACACTCCCACCCAACCCATTTCCTGTTCTTTACCTTTAGCATCAGACTGATTCTCAAACCGGTCCAAGGACAGCGTAATGCAGCGAACAAGCATGTTTGAGTCAACCAATGAACTGTTGATCTGATTTAAAAATACCTGGAACTAAAGAGAAATATTATTAGTGTTGCATTAAAGAAAAACAACAAAAAAATTAATCCCACATGAAGATTCATAGATCAGCTCTGACACAGCAGCATTTCATGCCCTTTTCAGAGCACGCGTGGCCGAGGGCTGTACTAAGCCAATTACTCTGTTGGTACGAAGGGAACAGGCCAGCAAACCCAAGGAGGAAGAGCTAGGAGCAGCGTTTGGTACGCAGGGCAACAGTCAGCGTTCTCCTATTTTCGACACTGAGAGAGTACAGTCCTTGAAGGTTATTGGAGAAACTGCCTTGAAGTCTGAGCACACACACCGAAAACACACACTTCAACACAAGGCTTCACAGGCGTGGACGATTTCCCCTCACTTCAGAAACAGAAGTTAGGTTCTGAACAGCAAATACTCAGGATCATCACCTTTTTGTTATCTCTAACAAGAATAAGAGGAGATACACATTCCCAGGCCTGCCTCATCCAGTCCAAGCCAATACTGGTACTGAGGGCTGACCAAAGGATCCCTATAGCAAGTATCTTAAAAACACTATGGAACAGAAAAATGCCAAAGTCCTGGCACCACTAACATCTCTTCTGAAGCTGTGTCACTTCAACGAGACCAAGATTTCATTCATTATTTGTTTGGAGAGGGGGAGACGAGACAGTATGGCTGCTGGCCTCTGCAGTTCCTCCAGCTCCACGTTCTCCTACACTTATTTCGTACAGCAGACAATACTAGGGAGTAACACAGCGAGGGATTCGTAGAGTGACAATTTAAAAAGTTACAGATCCATGAATAAGAAGCACACACAAAGTATAAAGACAGATTGTCTAGAATATGTGAGTTCATTTATGAGCAAACAACCTGATATTAAATACATCTTTCTTTTAAGTATATATTTGCTTCTATTCTCCAAGGCCTGCCAGACCTAACAGCAACCAGAGAAAAACTGCAGTAACGTAAGCAAGAGTGAAGTCATTCAAAGGGTACCCAACAGCTGATGTCATATGCATAAAGGGCACAAGAGCATGAAACCACTTTGCACAGAGCTGCCCATTCTCAATCTACATATGCAACTAAGTTTTATAGGTCATTACATCAGACACGACTTCTTAAAATGTCTGTAAGCTCAAACAATCTCAAAGATAAGGTATGTCTTTTTGCAGTATCAAATATTAATATTTTTAAGTCACCTCCATGAAGAACATCCCCCAAGCTCCAGAAAAAGACTTTCTGGAGCCTGTCGCAATGTCCACAACTATCAGCTTAACCCAAACCCCAGTGATTCCACAGGAAATGCTCTACCATCTTTGAGCCCTGAGCTCAGACCTGCCCGATCATGTAACAGGGCAATATTCTCTGAACAGCTCAGCGCTTGCTGACTCAGAACAGCTAGGAGAGCTTCTGAAAACACAAGTGCACGCAACAACAGACATGTTCGTGAAGAGACTTTGGCAGCTCACTCCATGTCTACTGTGCACCAAGCTCAACAATCACATCAAAATCAGCAAATGAATCTGAGTTTCTTAGTGCTACCTCTGGTCATAGAAGCACATAATCTGACCCACTGGGGACAGCTTTTACAAATATTTACCTTCTCATCTGTGTTGATGTACTTGTTGAACCTCTTGAATGCATCAATGTTGAATTTCATCAGTTCTCCCAGAAGGTCAAAGTAACTCTGAAGCACAT